TGTCACGATTCCCTTCAGGTCACTAACCTGAACTTTACTGTCAATCAGGGTTTGGATCATGCCGTTGACCAGCGGGTAATCCTCAGGTGATGAGCGTGATACAACAAGAACAACTGAGTTCGGGCTAACAACATCGGGAAGTGCAAGAACTTTTTTCAGCGTTGCCATTATCGGACGAGGACAATCTGAAACATCCATCGTACGCTTCGTGCATGTTATTCGGATGCCGATCATCTAATAACTGGTGGGATCGAAGCAAAATTTTACAGACCAAGGTAACTCGTTTTGAGCTGTGAAGCGACGAGTGTTAGGGTGCTCAAAGAAAATCCTCAAAAGCAGTAAGCATGGTCAGCAAAAAGAAAGGGTGTGATGGTGTGAAGAAGTCAGTGCCTTCTTCTCTACCCATCGGATTATTGAGGGATGTGCCGCTAGGTCCACTAATAGCAGAGACATAAGGGATGAACCGTCTGCGATATGTAGGAAGCTCCCATTTGAATACGTGTAGGAAGGCATCATAATTGCAATATATCTCTTACTGAACTTACTTCGAGTTTACCACACTGTATTCTTGCCAAGAAAAATGGTTTCGCAGGAGAGCTAGCGGAGAGCTGGAGATGGGGGAAGGGGACCACGGAAACGACGCTCAAGGAAGTGCTGGGCAATGGCGAGGCGTTTTTCAATGGTTCATCGTCCCAGGTCTGCTCGCGCTCATTCCATTCAGAATTCTATCGCTACCTGTGTCTCTGCAGAAGTACCCTCTCTTGCTCCATGACCCTAGTATCTTTTGGCAGTGAACCCTGCTAGCAAAACATGGGGTCATAAGTCAGCAGACTATGGGATCATGGCTCCTAAAAAGACCCCTTCATGCGAAAAAAAGATAAGGGGTCAACAGCTTCAAAATCGTACTTGGTGAGCATCCATCGGGACCAGGGCAAGACATTGTAGTGATGTTCATCACAGCGGCAACAATATCATCGGAGTTGGTCGAGATTACAGGTGGATACCAGTATTGTTGATTGGAAGCTGAAAACTGTCTCTTGAAATACTATTAAGTAACTGTAACATAGTTAAGTGAAATTCTCGGTTAGAATGATGTAGTTTCTGGAAAGCTGAGAAAAAGAGTCGCTAGTTTCGTGTCCTCAACCAGTAATCACTTAGCAGGCACCCATAACTAGCGGCACAGCGAGCATTTCACTAAATCCCACACTTCTGAAGCAGGGAACCCCCCCCTAACCAGGAAAAACGTGGAAATATACAGAGGGGGGGGCCCTGAAAAAAAAGTCGATTCCGTGGCGAGTCACATATGAGCGAAGTTTTCGCAGCCCAGACAGAGGAAGTGGATATGAGTACCAGGGCGGAAGATACCCAAGATCTTCCTCTATAAGCAGGAGCCGGCTGCCGCCATTCACCTTCATGTACCAAAATATGAAGTCATCTCCAGTCGCGGCCTGAGTGGAGAACGCCTTTGGAATTCACGTGGCCTCCAAACAGCTGCGGAACTTCTTGAATGGAATCACCCATGGATAGCTACCTGGAGACCAGTACTCTTGATCTGCAAGACCTCCAACATCGAGCAGCTCCGGCAACGTCGCTACGGTCCAGGACATCATCTTCACCCCATTCACCAAGGCGCGGGTTGATGGTGTGGACCGGCCGTACCTGGAAATGGGAAGACCCGGTATTTTTCTTTGTAGGACCGGGCCGACTGTGAAGGTGAGCGCTACGGCGGTCCACGATCAAATAAGCGTCGAGAAGGATATCCTCCTACTGTGGTCTCCCGGTACCTTCTTGCAGACGCTGTGTGCTACAGGTTTGGGTGCGAGCCGCACAGGGTGGAATTGGTCGAAGGGTTGTTGGAAAATGCCAATCTGCCTCGCCTACTTCGAATGGAAGGGCCTTTCGTACCTGATGAAGATGTAATCTTGAAAATATCCCCTGACCTGAACCCACTCAATTACCTAGTTCGGGCGGAGCTCAACAGGGTGGTCTACAGTGGCGGAGAAACAATCGATCTCGTCAACTCCGGTACCCACTCACTTTCGCGCGGCCGAATCTCTCGATGGCGCTCCTCCAGAAGGCTGTGGCGGAGTATCATTATAGTATTTAATGTGCTCTTTAATATGGTAGTAAAAATGTCCGATAAAAATTTAATAAATAAAATAAAATTTAATATCAAAAAGTAAAATTTGAATAATCGTGTAACTATAGCGCCTTGAAAAACATGAAGGCAAAATGGCTTTTTGGCCCCCCCCCCCTGTAGTCTCTATCTTCCTTCAGGGCAGAGGGTGGTGTAGTGACAAGTGGGCGCTTACCAAATTCGCGCCGAGGGACTGGGTTCAAATGCACGGGGTCGACTCGCCGCTGGCCAACCAAGCCCTCCTGACCCTCCGGGGAACTTACGTGAATTTAACAGGTTCGTCCTAGGAAGATTTGAGCACGCAAAACCTGTGCATCGGCTGACCCCGCATGTCATTGTGTAGGCCACTGTGCGGCATATCCAAGTAAAGCCGCGCTAACGATTCTGATAGAAGTAAGAAAGCGCGCGGCCCGAACCAGCAGAAGGGGTTTGATCATGTGGCGAGACTTTACGCATTCATCCTTGAAATTCTTCCAGGAGGGGGAAGAAAGATGAGTGCGGAGCGGGGGGGGGAGGAAGAAGTGGATCTCCGGTGAACTATTGGACATATCAAAACTATGATATTACCGACTAGGCAGTTAGCGCGAAAGGAAAATAAGCAATCAAAGAATTCTTCACCTAGAACCCCCCTCTTAATCCTCGATAATTCCTCAACGATGATGTGCATTGTCTGGTACTACTGACTGCCGGAAGGTTCTCTCTTGGCATTAGTAATAGTATTGCATTATAATTCCTTATGAGAACAAGTAAAGGAGAACTGAACATTTATTCCGCGGATTCTGGTTCTTGCCATGTGTGAGCTACAGTAACGTGTCACTTTCTCCATTAAAAAAGCACGGGAACGGGGCTGGAGGGCAGGGACACCCGGGTGCCGTTCCACGACCCCGTCCGCGCTGCCGCACGGTCAGCCACACGCGTAACCATAGTTGGACGGACCACTTCTCTTCTCAATCTCACTTCTGGTCATTCTCTACCGCTGAGTACGTGTACGCTGCGGCATCTTGGTATTGACGCAAGCGCTGATCTTTTTGAAGCGCGAGCGCAGTATGAAGACGGGTTCTAGTACCACTACCCTATGGCCCCCCTCTCTCCTGCACTTTTGACTGAAGAAAGTAGCCCTGATGCAGCTGAGAATCCATCCGCGTTTTGATGGCCAAGACCAGGATCCGCAGCGAAGAGTGCACAACTTGTCTTTAAAGTGTTCAGAGTTTCGGCCAAAAGAGAAAACTTACTGGAATCAAACGGATAGAGTATGAATTTGCTGAACCATCCCTTTGTTGTGGTATCATTCTGTATGCTGTCCAATGCAGTTTTGAGATTTTTCTTCATTTGGAATATGGTGCTACCCATGTTGTACGAGGTCTCGAGCATTATCACAAATGTTCTTCCTGAAAATCACAGACGCGAACAACAATCTCGTGTGGAAAACAAACGGAAGATAGAGCAACAAACCTGTATCCGTGAACGTGGCATCGTACTTCTGCGTGCAAACCGCTGTAAATAGTAAAGTATTACCGAAGAAATTATGATACAACCTCCTCACACACCAAAGGAGGAGTCAGTTCTCGGCATATACATCTATCTATTTGTATATTTGATGCATGCATATGTAGAAGTGTTACCGTACTCTATTGAATACTATGCAATCCACTATGCTGTGTTCTATTAGAGGCACGTTCGCGATTGAAATCGAATAAGCGTAGACTCATAACCTTCAGCTTTTACCTCCTCGATTGATGCAACACTTCTCTCACATTGGAAGAAATGGCAAATGCACAAGGAAGATTTTCACGATTCTCCACTTTTTTCCTCCACTCACTCCATTATGAAGGATTCGCCTTCAGGTCCAAGTAATGGCACAGACGTATGGGATTTTAAACCGTATCACTATAATATGTAGAGAACTATTCATCTGGATTTTAGTGGAAAGGTACCCGATACTCCGAAATCTTTATACAAGCTTATACTTTTTTGGTCGAATCCAATTGGACCCTTCTCGAACCAAATCGGACATTTTTCGAACCAAAACGGCTTTGTTCAAACCAAATCGGACTTTTTACAAACGAAAATGGACACTTTTCAAACCAAATCTGAATCGAAAAATCGGACAGAAAATCGGCTGA